GGGTACTACAGACGATTTATTAAGAATTATGACATTATTAGCAGAACATTGACACAGATGTTAAAAAGGATGGGTTTCAATGGACTTCTGCTGCTTATTCTGCTTTTGAGGATCTTAAGAAAGCTATGTCTTATGCTCCAGTTTTAGCACTACTAGATTTTGCTAAGACATTTTATCTGGAAACAGATGCTAGTTCTGGGGGTATAGGGGTTGTTCTTTCACAAGAGGGAAGACCTATTGCTTATTTAAGTAAAGCTTTAAGTCCTAGACACTCAGCTCTATCTATTTATGAAATGGAATATCTTGCTATTCTATTGGTTGTTTCTAAATGGAGGCATTATTTGGAGAATAGACCATTTGTTATTAAAACTGATCATGAACCATTAAAATTTCTGTTGGAGCAGAAGTTAACTACCACTATTCAGAAGAAAGGGTTGACCAAGTTATTGGGATTAGACTATACTATTCAATATAGAAAGGGGAAATCAAATGTAGTTGTTGATGCTTTATCTAGAACATGGGAGGATCAAACTCATTGTTTGGCTATGGGAGTGACTGTTTTGGTTCCTACTTGGGTTCAAGAGATTGAAGACAACTATAAGAATGATTCTATAGCTCAAAATTGGATTTCCATTCTAACTATTAATCCTGCTGCTGACAATAAATGGAAATATTCTAAGGCTGTTCTTAGATATGATGGGAGGGTTTATATTGGAGCTAATGGAAGCCTTAGGTTGAAAGTTATACAGACTTTGCATGATTCTCCTCAAGGGGGACATTCTGGGGCACATGCTACATATTATAGGATTAGGTCAAATTTTTATTGGCCAAATCTTAAAGCTATGGTTGCTACCTATGTGAGATCTTGTGAAGTTTGCCAGCAAACTAAGGTGGAACATGTAGCAAAACCTGGTTTGCTACAGCCCCTTCCTGTTCCTAATCAAGCTTGGGAAATCATTACTATGGATTTCACTGAAGGATTGCCTACTTCCTTCAAGAAAAATTGTATTTTGGTAATTGTGGATAAATTCACCAAATACAACCATTTTCTACCTCTATCTCATCCTTATTCTGCAGCAGAGGTTGCTAAGCTCTACTTAGACAGTGTTTATAAACTACATGGTCAGCCTAAAATGGCCATTTCTGACAGAGATAAGACCTTTACTAGTTTGTTTTGGAAAGAATTGATGAAACAATTGGGTACAAGGACACTGTTCAACATTGCTTATCATCCTGAAACGGATGGACAAACAGAGAGGGTTAACCAGTGTTTAGAACAATATTTAAGGGGAATTTGTTTTTATCAGCCTAGATATTGGGCTAAATGGCTACCTCAGGCAGAGTGGTGGTACAACACCACTTACCATACAACTTTAAAATTAACTCCTTTTTAGGCTTTATATGGGTACAAACCACCTATTATGCTTTGGCTAACATATACTACAGTTCAGTCAGTTAGTGAAATTATGACTAACAGGGAGTATATAAGGCAGTTAGTCAAGCATCCATTAGAATTAGCCAGTAACAGAATGAAGCAGCAGTCTGATAAAAGTAGAACAGAAAGGGTTTTTCAAATTGGAGAATTGGTGTACCTGAAGTTGTAGCCATATAGACACTCTTCGATTACCCTGCGAAAAAATCTTAAGTTAGCAGCAAAATATTTTGGACCATACAAGATACTCGAAAAAATAGGTGAAGTAGCTTATAGACTGGATTTACCTGATTCTTCGAGACTCCACCCTGTATTTCATGTAAGTTTTCTGAAGAGATTCATCGGGGATTCATCAGTGACTGCTACAGATCCTCCTGTCATAGACGAAGATGGTCAGTTGCAAATAAAACCCTGGAAAACTATGGGAAGACGAATCGTAAATAGAAATGGAAAACCAGTTACTCAGCTTTTGGTTCGATGGCAAAACTTGGATGAATCGAATGATACTTGGGAAGATTATTCGTTTCTATGTGGCCAGTTTCCTACGTTTGATCCTTGGGGACAAGGCTCGTCTCGTGGGGCGGGTATTGTTATAGTTGGAGAAGAAGAAGAAGACGAAGAACGAAGGAACGAGCAGAATTTGGGAATGGAGAAAGGAGGGTTGGGATTCTGGAGAAAGAAGGGTTAGGGATTTGGGAGAGTATATTGGGGATTGAAATCAGAAAAGGAATTGAAAAACGAGGGGAGTTTGACTTATCTGATGAAGTGGAGGCGGGCCAAGGGAGTTTGGTGCGAGATGGAGCGGCCCAGTCAATTGGCCCAATACCTGAACAACACAAGGAATCAGTTTGTTAAGCAATTCAATTATAGAAGATTGCCAGCTGGCATTACTAGATTTACCAGTACGAATTTGTAACTAAATAATAGGTCGCACCTTTCTTCTCTATGATTGTCAATCAATTTCTTGTAGAGCACATTTCTTCTCTATGATTTGAATGAATGAGAATTCCCTTTCTGTAATCCCTTTTCTTCTTCTTCTACAACCTTTCTTCTTCGATAATTTCTTCTCTCTTATCCTCAATCTACAACAATAGGTCGCACCGACATGAAATTGATTGACATTATACTTTGTCCCATCAAAGACATTACGAGATATAAGCTTTCTGTACTTTCAAAGACCTACAGAATGTTTCACTAATATCCTTCAATTTACCTTCTCATATCATTCAGGGTGTTCAAGGCAAGCAGGGACAAATGACAAAGAAATCTATGGATGATTCACAAACAGGGAGATCTTAGGCAAAGTCCAACGATCTTAGCCATGCAAAGCATAACCGAATACGTGCATCTTACTCTCCTTACCGTGTGTTGTAACTTCTCTTATTAGGCAAAGTTAGAAAATTAGGCATGTCTAGTGTAAAAGAAAAAAAAGGCAAATTTTGTTTATGGTAGTTAATACCTCTAGTAGCAAACCAACTATCTTAGGCATGAATCTTAAATATAGTAGGCAAGACAAATGTTTTGTTTAGAGTCTGTTGTTCAGAGTCGGATTGATCTTTCTTTTTCATGTTTAGAGCATCTTGGCTTGGATGTAAAAATGCAACTTCACTTAATGTATGAAATAACACAGATGGATGATTGTATGACTTCTTTCTAATGAATCGGAGATATGTTTATTCAACCATTTTGCCTGACCATGTATGTATGAACCTCGAAAGGTTAGTCTTTGTGGACTATAAACGGATACGGAAAGACTAAGGTTAGATTACAGATCTCGACCCGTTCCAAAACCTGAAAGTTAGATCATTCTAACACAGGAGCAACACAGTACCTCTACATATAATATAGTCTTATTTGTCTACTGTTGCAGCTTGAGGTATACCCAAACCCCTTTCTTTTGGGTAAGACTAAGCCATATGATTTTTTTTTGCTTTATGGTATGTCAATAATTTAATATATGTTATATCAACAATAAGCTAATAATAAATATTTATTCTTAATTAATTAATGATTTATATTTTAAAAAGGGTAGGTTAAGAGTGATGGGAGAGGGTTTAGGAAGGTGTATGGAAATACTCAACTGAACTCACAGTCACAACATTATAGGTAACAAACAAACATTGCAATTTATTCTTTCCTTAAAGATCATAACTTCGGAGTGGACTGTGGGAGCTTAAAATTTATTGGAATTTGTAATTTAATTTCTACAAATATCGTGCTTGAACTTTAAATTTCAATAAATAATAATATTCCTATCGAGATTACTTAAATTTTTCAGTTTACAGTGTTAAATATATGCTCTTGTAAATAAAATGACTGTTTTATACTATTTATTTACAATTCAATAAATATATTGAAACTGACAGAACTCAGAATTAATTGGAGGAGAAAGATGAAATAATTAACGAAATCCCAATATATTATAAGATATTTAAATATATTCTTTTTGATATTTTAGTAGGACTAGTAGTAAATTTTTATAATATATAACTAGGTCGAAGATACGTACACCAATATATATTATATGAAATCAATTTCCATAACTAGTTTTGAACCCGCAAAGTTGAAAACTTGACGGCGGGCAACAAAGTCAATATATATTAAACGCCTACCATAGCTGGCCGCCGCCATTACATACCACTGCCCTGACTTCATTATATTCAACCTTCTCAGCTCTCCTTCCCAACATCACCAGAACCAACAATGGCGATCTTGCCAATTCCATGCTCCATCAAATTGCACCCCAAAATCAACCCTTTTCCCAGTACCCCACGTTCCGTTTCCAACATCCATCAACCCCACACCATTCCAATCATCTCATCGACGCTGAAAACATCTTACGAATCCAAAAATCTCCATGAATTAATCAACGACAGTTTACCAACGTCTTCTTCAAGTTGGGGGGGACAGCTTTCGAAAGATCTGGGGATGAAAACCAAGCGAAACGATGAGACATTGGAGAGAGAAGTTGAAGTGGTTATGTGCAGGCTGAGGGGAGTTGTGGAGATGTTAATGGAGGTGGAGATTCAGAAGATAAACGGAAGGTTAAAGGGAACGTGTGATGAAGATAAATTGTTGGTGGAGAATATGAGTAGAGAGATCGTTGACAAGATTTTGAAGCGGCCGGTTGAGTATTTCAAAGCAAGTAGTAAAGGAGATCTTGAAACCAGATTGAACGACTTGAATTTGCTGATTCGTTTGATTGAAAAACCATGCAATGGTTGTCCAAGGTGATTAAGAGAAACCCCAGACATGGCTGGCAACGGAGATTTTTTTTTTTTTGCTATTTCCAGTTTTGTTTTCATCATAATTTTTTATTCATTTCATCATGAACAATGATTTGGTTGGTTAATTATTTTCTATTGAAAAATAAAATATTTTGAAATCGATTGGATCCGTGCCTCTATGACTTTTGTTGGTAAAAGTATGGTTGCAGAGCAGTATTTTAGCATAAATAAATAAAATGTAAAAATAAAATAGTTTTAATATAAATAAATAAAAAGTTATTATATCATATTAGAAAGATATAATAACAAAATTAAACCAGCTACCAGCACTAAAGACACTTCATCCATGAGGAATAACATCATCTTTGTCGAATCAAAATTTTCGATACCCAAACCAATAGCAGTTTTGTCTACATTAATGCCAAAAAAAAGTCATTAACTTGTCAAGATAAGCTTTGTCAGCCTCCGCGAGCTTCTCTTCTTGTGGCATCATGAAGTAATTCAATGTCAACACCATCTGGAGGCAGCTGAACATATCTCACAACCGAGCCTCTGATGAAACAGTTCCTTACCGAAAGCTGTAACCAGACATTTGCTTCTTAATTCAGCTGGGGAAAAAATTGTAACGATAAAAACAAAGACGGGTTTTGTCGAGACTGAGATAGCCGATGTAGGAGAAAACTGAACCAATACATGTTTTATGGGCAGGGGTAACAGAATATTACAACAATGTCTTATACTTTCAGTATAAGTTCAACCAGTAATGAAATTACAAGGCTTGGCAGTTGGCACTGAAGGGTGGAACTTGAAGTTGAAAGAAAAATAGAAGAATGGCAAGAAGAGGAAAACTGATAACCTATTGGAAGAGATTGAAGGAACCAACCATATACAAAGTAAAGAAAAATTATTCAGCAGTAATAAAGTGCTTCAAAGCTATAGCAGTCTCCAAATCAAAGAGTTAACAGATCACCGAAAGTACGAAAGTAGTTTTGTTTCTCATAAACCATAAAAGGTGACCGAATATGATACTAAAACTGGGATTTCCATACACAAGTGTCATATGATCTACAAGTCCAATAGCCAAACCCCATTCAAAGAAAGCAATCAATACTCAACATGAAATGAATTGACATAGTTATAAGGCAAAAGGAAAACATGGAATTTCAAAACAAATGCATTTTGAAAAGAAAAGTAGCAAAAAAGGGGAGAAAGCAAAACCTAAAATCAAAAAATGATCAGCATCAGAAGATGCTGACATCCAATCTGTCAAACTCCAACATCACTGCACTTGTGGCACAGAAACTAAAAGGTGACAAGTGGTTGGACTTGGTTCCAACATTAACATGTCCTTTATATCACCAAACAAGTTGAACAGTTTTTTCTTTTTTACATTAGCAAGTTAAATTGTGTTGCTAGTTGCTACTCTTTTCTTAAGGTGCTTGAAATGTATATTGTGCTGTTTGAATAGGCTCTCCTGCCAGCCTCTTCCTGGCAACATCAATTACAAGTTTGATTTTATACTTAGCTAAATCCAATGCCAAAGAATAAGATGAAAATCTTTCAGGTGGAGCATAATGTGGAGAACGCTCATATAGTGTCACAACCCTAAGTGGCAAATGCAAGCTCGTGTATCATCATACAAACATTGACAGTGCATATTCAATGCTACAAAACACCATGTTCCTGAATCCAATTTTCTGACGGCTGCTCTATAACCATTGGTGCAAAATAGGAATTATATTCCGAAATCTATTGAAGGTGTGTGTTGAACCAGATAGTTTTTGAGTTTTGATCTTGTTTTATTAAGTTAAAGTTTGACAATTATGATAGGTTTACAGTTTCGTACTCCTTTAATTACTATAGGATCAATGTAGCTAGCTAACCAATTCATCATAAATCTCAAAGGAAAATTGAACCCAATTAACTTCTAATTTAAGAGAGGATCACGTTCGACCAAGGTTTCACGTTTTCTTTAACCTTTTTGGTTTTATTTCGACCATCTTCAACAGGCTAAAACGGACAAGCTCCTGAGTTAAGCCTTGATCAAATGCCCCAGGTTGACAAGGGACTCCCATCCTCAGACACCCTACCTTAGCTAGCTAATCTAAGAACGAAAATTCAATTTGATAGTTTTGGATTAATGCTTTTTTTTTCTTCTTATTGATAAATCAGATCATCTAAATGTTGAATTTCAAGCATTCCCTTTTCAGAAAACTACTCAAAATTTTCACATACACATAAACCCCCCCAGAAGTAAATTTTCATTGACATAGCACGAGACAAAGAAAGACTATTCATGCAAAGCATAATATTAAAGGAAAGATTGCTGATAAAAGAAGAGAATTTGACCACAGATAATAAAAGCACGCAGTGATATACATTCAGTATAAAATTAGCTACAAAAGAAAATCTAAATAAACAATCAACAAAGAAAGGCAGCACATAAAAGAACACAGATGAGCCCCAAATTCAGCTTCACTCATGAAAAAGAAAAATCATACAAACAAAAATCATAAAAAAGGTGGGATACCATATGAGGATACTTGTCTTGATCGACAACCCTAGTGTTCTCGAGCTTGATATTGAGGTATTGATCAACGGAGTGAAGGGTTCCTCTGATTGCCAAATCGTTCTTCAGCTCCACCGTCACCTCTCTTCCCACCAAATCTTTGAAATACGAAAAGAACAACTGCACCAATCAAAATAGAAAGAAGAAAAAAGGACACCCATTGGAGAATGAAGAGGGGAACATTAGTTTCGAAACTCAATTGAATGAAAACATACGTATATCAGTATGTTTTTGAAGCCCGGAAAACAAAATAAAAGAAAGAATAAGATTACAATGATTTCGATTCCTCTGCCTAGAAAGAGAGAGGGTTTTCTGGGTTTTGCTAAAAGATTCGAACAAAATGAAAATTTGATGGAGCGGACACTGTATGAGGCGGAGGTGAGTTTAATTTTCATTGGTTTGCCGGTAATGGCTACTTACTAAAGCTTTGATTTTTGGGCCTTTAAGCACGGCATTAGCTATCCGTAAGGCATGGACTCTATGGCCTTATCATTATATTTACTAGGCCCAAAATAATACTTCGAGAAATACACATTCGATCGGTTCGGTTTTTATAAATCTAATAACTAAATAAATTTATTCTGAAATAATCTAACGAAATAATTAAATATTCAATCTCAAATAACTTATCTAAATATATATTTGTGGCTTTGAAGAATTGATCTAAACATCAACCATTTCTTAATATTTATGTTTCGACAATCAAATCGAGATGAGTTCAAGCCATAAATATATTCAAGCTTAAAATTTAGCTAGTTTCCTTTAATTAAACAAGTAAAGTTCTAGACTTGGATTACAATTTAGATGTTGTTCCTTCTTTGAGGTAATCTCCCCTTCTCTGTTTTGTTGATCATTGATTACTTTCAGGCGGAGAAGTAAAAAAATCCAGCAAGGAGCCAACTTTAAGGCTGAAACTCTGTACTCCTTGAATGAAAAGTTTGAAACTCTGTAATCTTCCCATACTTTGTATTCCATTCATTTGATCTGCATTTTGAGAGGAATTCAGTAGTAATAACATGTTTTCAATTTTTTATTTTTTGGTGCAGTGGAAGCAATGGAGCTTCCATACATGAACCCTTATTTGGAATCTGTTGGTTCTCCCAGTTTCCAAACAGGGTGCAATTTTGCTACCGGAGGGGACACTATTCAACCTGCAAATGCAGCTTCAACGAACCCTTTTTCCTTTAATCTCCAGATATCTCAATTCTTCAGATTCAAGAAACGAGTTCTTACATTACTTTCCAAAGGTACTTCCTTTTTGAAAAAGCTTTTTTTGTGACGGAAATGGCTCCTGTTTTTCTATCTGTTTTTCAATTCAGACAAGGAACTTGAGAAATATCTCCCTGCGGAAGATTATTTCAACAAGGCCCTTTACATGTTCGATATCGGCCAGAACGATATCGACGGCGCGTTGTATTCACTGGCATCAGATAAACTAGTTCTCGATTTCGTTTCGCAGCTTATGTCGGATCTCAACTACGGAATGAAGGTTCCATCAAGTTCTCATCCTGCTTCTACCACAGATGAATTAGCTATTCCTGGCTTCCTGCTATTTTATGCTTCTTTTTTCCCCTTTCCAGAGACTATACGATGTAGGCGCAAGGAATTTCTGGGTTCACAACACAGGTCCCCTCGGATGCTTGCCGAGAATCATAGCTACATTCCAAAAAAACCAGTCGAACATCGACATGCATCGCCTCGCACAACCGAGTGTTGTGGAATTCGGATTAATTTCCACCAATAACAGATTCACCTTGAAAACTATTATCTAGGTGACTAGTGTGAAAACGATTGTACTAAAAATCACCCCAAGGTAGATTCCCAGGAAAGATGAGGGGTCACAATGGTCCCTCTTAAAACCCACTTTCCTTAGACAGAACTACCAAGACAAGTAATTTTAATAGGACAATAATTAACAACTATACCCGACAATAGCTATTAAATAGACATAAAAGAGAACACCAAAATATTTCACTAATAGAGGAAATATTACAAATAGAGAAAGAATACAAATAGCCTTTAAAATAGAAGAAGACTTATATTTGTGGGATGATTAACTAAGGAGGAGGAGAGCTTTATTTATAACAAAAGAATTTCCCCTCCTCCTTATACACAACCAATGTGGGACTTTTGCCAAAAACCAACAAATCTCCACCTTGGCAAATTCCACACACATCTCTAAAAAAAAACAATCTTTTAATTTGTAACAATATTGACCAAGTCTAAACAATGTTTAAACTTGACCGCAGTTACCACTTTTGTCAACATATCAGCAGGATTCTCAGTGGTCCGAATCTTCTGGATTATGACTCCACCTTCTTCTAGAATCTCTCGTACAAAGTGATATCGAACATCGATGTGCTTCGTCCTTGCATGGTAAACCTGGTTCTTTGCTAAATGAATAGCACTCTGACTGTCACAGTGCATTTTGATGTGCTTTTGTTCCATTCCCAATTCACCAAGCAACCCTTGAAGCCAAATTGCCTCCTTCACAGCCTCTGTAACTGCCATATACTCTACCTCTGTAGTAGACAAAGCCACTGTTGACTGTAAGGTGGACTTCCAACTGACTGGTGCCTTTGCAAATGTAAACATATAACCAGTAGTTGATCGACGCTTGTCCAAATCACCTGCATAGTCTGAATCACAATATCCAACTACACACTGACCATCTTGTTTGTCCTGCTGAAAGACTAAACCAACATCTACGGTGTTCAGAATATACCGCAGAATCCATTTCACAGCTTGCCAATGCTCCTTTCCAGGATCATGCATATACCTGCTCACAACCCCAATTGCCTGTGAAATATCGGGTCTCGTACACACCATTGCATACATCAAGCTACCAACAGCACTTGCATACGGAACCTTTGACATGTATTCCCATTCTGCATCATCCTTAGGTGACATGGATGCACCGAGCTTGAAATGAGGAGCAAGAGGTGTACTAACTGGTTTTGACATCTCATTTATGCCAAAACATTTTAGTACCTTCCTCAGATATTCTTTCTGAGACAAACAAAGCCTCCCCAATTTCTTATCCCTTGATATCTCCATGCCTAGAATCTTCTTCGCTTCACCAAGATCCTTCATCTCAAACTCCCTGTTCAATTGAGTCTTTAGTTTCGCAATTTCTGTCTGACTCCTGGAAGCTATCAGCATATCATCAACATAAAGAAGAAGATATATATAGGATCCGTCTTCTAGCTCGCGTAAATACACACAATGATCATATTTGCTTCTTGTGTACTTCTGCCCTATCATAAACTTGTCAAATCGCTTGTACCACTGCCTTGGAGATTGCTTCAATCCGTACAATGATTTTTCTAATTTGCACACCATCTCTTCTTTTTCAGCAACTTTGAATCCATCTGGCTGAGTCATGTAGATTTCCTCATCCAAGTCTCCATGTAAAAATGCAGTTTTTACATCCATCTGAACTAGTTCCAAATCCAACTGCGCTACCAAAGCCAACAAAATTCTGATGGATGAATTTTTTACAACTGGAGAAAATACTTCATTATAATCAACTCCCTCCGTTTGAGCGTAGCTTTTAGCCACCAATCTTGCTTTGTAGCGGATGTTATTCTTGTCAGGAAATCCATCTTTCTTTGCATATACCCACTTGCACCCAATTGCCTTCTTTCCCTTCGGAAGACTAGCTAGTTTCCACGTCTGATTCTTTTGAAGGGATTGCATTTCTTCATTCATGGCGATCCTCCACTTTTTATGTTTTGAACTTTGAACTGCTTCATTAAAAGTGGCAGGAATGTCATCAATTGCAATTGGTGATGCAAAAGAGACCATATCAGCATAACGAGCAGGTTGTCTAATGGTCCTCTTTCCCTTTCTGAGTGCAATTGATTCATGTTGCTGTGGAGGTTCTTGGGTCTGAACCTCTTTTTCATCTGACTCTTCTTCTACCATAGGAGAGTCAACATCAGTTTCTTTACTGGTTGGGACAAATTTGCTTCCTTCAAACTCCACCTGTTTGGGAGTTCCATATGTCTGCTCTAATTTTTCTGAAGTCACCTTTCTCAACATGGTAGATTCATCAAAGGTAACATCCCTGCTGAAGATTATTTTCTTTGTTTCTGGACACCAAAGACGATAGCCTTTCACACCAGAGGTGATCCCCATAAAGATCGCCTTCTTTGCTCTTGGATCCAGCTTTGACTCCTTAACATGGTAGTATGCAGTGGAACCAAACACATGTAAGGAATCATAATCTGTAGCAGGTACTCCAAACCATTTCTCTAATGGTGTTTTACCACCAATAGCAGTCGATGGTAAGCGGTTGACAAGGTGACAAGCATAGACCAAAGCCTCAGCCCAAAATTCTTTGCCTAACCCAGCATTAGACAACATACACCGAACCTTCTCCACTAATGTCCGGTTCATACGCTCTGCCACCCCATTCTGTTGTGGTGTACCTCTGACAGTGAAGTGCCTAACAATACCTTCCTCTTCACAGACTTTCAGAAATGGATCATTTTTGTACTCTCCACCATTGTCTGTACGGAGACGTTTGATTTTTCTGCCTGTTTGAGTCTCCATCATCTTTTTCCATTTAAGGAAAAATCCTAGCACCTCATCATTTGTCTTCATTGGATACACCCAAACTCTCCGGGAAAAATCATCAACAAAGGTGACATAATAGTGTGTTCCTCCCAATGAAGTTGTCTTGGAAGGCCCCCATACATCTGAATGAACATAATCCAAAATACCTTTAGTATCATGGATTGTTGTTCCAAATTTCACCCTCGTCTTCTTCCCTTTGGTGCAATGCTCACAAAAAGCTAATTTGCAAGCCCGAGCACCCTTCAATAATCCTTGATCTATCAGTAATTTCAAGGATTTTTCACCAACATGCCCCAATCGCATGTGCCATAACCTGGTTGCTTCTGACTCCTGTTCATCAGTAGAAGCTGCCACTGCTGCTGTCCCAACAATTGTACTACCCAGAAAGTAATACACATTGTTTCTTTTTTGGATTCCCTTCATTATCACCAGTGCACCAGAGATAATCCTCATAATCCCATCTTTTGCCCTCACTTCTAAACCTTTTGACTCTAAGGTTCCCACAGAGATGAGATTTCTCATTAAATCTGGTACATAATGGACACCTGTTAAGGTTCTGATTGATCCATCCTGATTCCTCAAGCGAATTGAACCAATCCCAAGTGTGTCAAGAGGGGAATTATTTGCTGTGTAGACAATTCCACCTTTTAATTCTTTAAAATCAAAGAACCATTCTCTATTGGGGGTCATATGGTGGCTACAAGCTGAATCTAACAGCCATGAACTGGAACAGCTGGTTGATGGCGTAGCAGCGAATGCGAAATCTGAATCTCCATCATCATACTCGACCACATTTGATTCTGAGACAGCCTTCCCCCTTTCAGGTTTGCCTTTATTCTTTAGCCTGGGACATTCTTTCTTCCAATGCCCTTTTTCTCGACAAAAGGCACATTCATCTTTGCTCAATCTGGACTTTGACTTCGATCTCCCTCTGCTTCCTTTATTCTGACTCTTGGAACAGCCTCTAACAACAAGAGCTTCTGCTTCGACACTTGTGTTTTCTTGTTTGTCTTTCTTTATCAATTCATAACTATACAAGGCAGCAATTACTTCACTGAGAGACACATCAACCTTCCCATGAAGTAGAGTAGTTTCAAGATACTCAAACTCATCAGGAAGTGATCCCATCAACATCAGAGCCAGATCTTCGCCTTCAAAAGTCACGTCCATATTCATTAGATCAGTCACCAGCTGATTAAAGCTAGTAATGTGATCATTCATAGTGGTACCTGGTACATAGTTGAAGCGGAACAATCTCTTTTTCATGTAGAGTTTGTTCTGACCGCTTTTCTTCAAAAATTTCTCCTCCAGTGCCTTCCAAAATTTACTTGCAAAAGTTTCCTTAGAAAATGCATACTTCTGCTCTCTAGAAAGACACAATCGAATAGTACCACATGTCATTCTATTGATCCTCTTCCATTCTTTCTCCTCAACATCATCTGGTTTCTCTCCTTCAATAGCAATGTCTAGACCCTGCTGAAATAGGGCATCTAGAACCTCGCTTTGCCACATGCCGAAATGACCGGTGCCATAAAAAATCTCCACTACAAATCTAACATTTGTCATAGCATTTCTTGCCAAAATTGAAGATGAAGAAGCGTCTGTCATTTCTGCTACAAATTCTATTTAATAGCTGCCAATGCGGAATGTCAATTATCCCAAGGAAATTTTTCTGATGTGGAAGATCAGCCTAAGCCGCAACCACAGAGCATACTAAAATAAACCAAGAGCGCTGATACCAATTGTTGTGGAATTCGGGTTAATTTCCACCAATAACAGATTCACCTTGAAAACTATTATCTAGGTGACTAGTGTAAAAATGATTGTACTAAAAATCACCCCAAGGTAGATTCCCAGGAAAGAGGATGGGTCACAATGGTCCCTCTTAAAACCCACTTTCCTTAGACAGAACTACCAAGACAAGTAATTTTAATAGGACAATAATTAACAACTATACCCGACAATAGCTATTAAATAGACATAAAAGAGAACACCAAAATATTTCACTAATAGAGGAAATATTACAAAGAGAGAAAGAATACAAATAGCCTTTAAAATAGAAGAAGGCTTATATTTGTGGGATGATTAACTAAGGAGGAGGAGGGCTTTATTTATAACAAAAGAATTTCCCCTCCTCCTTATACACAACCAATGTGGGACTTTTGCCAAAAACCAACACCGAGCTGCCACCATTTTCAACCAGAAACTCCGAGATATCTGCCTGCAGTTCTTGGCGCAATCGCCCGAAGCCAACATCACATACGCCAACATTTACTCGATTAAACTAAACCTTATTTCAAACTCTTCGCTATACGGTAAGCAACCCTAATACTCAAAATCATTTATGTTCATCGTCCCGTTTATTCGAATCGACTCGGGTTTCGCTTTCAGGATTCCAGCAACCATTAGCAGCATGCTGTGGCTACGGTGGTCCTCCATTGAATTTCTACAACCGGGTACCTTGTGGTGTGACTAAGGATCTGAACGGGACCATTGTGACGGCAAATCCATGTAACAATACAGCTGAGTACATAAACTGGGATGGGACTCATTACACTGAAGCGGCAAATAGATTTGTTGCAGATCAAATTCTAACAGGAAACTACACAGATTCACCTCATTTGGGGACTTCACCATTTGTTAACTGACCAAAGATGAATGTTATTGTTGTTGTATTTACTTTGTACTTCCTATTGGTTTACACAGTTTTTATATGACAATGCCATACTTTGATCAGTACTGAATAGTGTAGGCTGAATTATGGTTTTGGTTCCTCTACTATGTTTAATTTGGAGATTTACTCCTTATAATTTAATTTGGCATAATCTAATCCTCTATTTTTTTATAATATAAGAACAACACTCTCTTTAACCACTGAGGTCGCTTAATGGATTTCTTAGTCCAAATAGTTAAAATGCACTAATTATTTCAGTTAAAAAATATGCTAACATGACTTTTTTTATGCTGGAATGAGCATGGGAAAACACAAATCTGCATTTTGATAAAAATAGTTCATAGTGATAACTAATTGGATTAACTAAAGAAATAATAAAAGTATAGGACTAAATTAGGTCAAATTAAAATACAAGGATTAATTCAAAATATTGGTATAATAGAGGGATCGAAACTATAAATTAACCAATAGTGTATATGAAAGTCTAACCTAAGTTTTGTTCGGTTGATTAAATTTTTAAATGCAATGCCTACACTACCTATAATCCTTAAAACTCTTAAATCGAAAACAATTATTTGCTTAAACAGATGATCATCATAATATTTTTTTTTTAAATAATCATCATATTATTATAACAACAACAATATCAATTGAATTATGGCTTAATTAAACCATTTATGGAGAGACATTCAGCAAATTCTGATTATGAGATTGGATTTACTAATAACTTTATAAAAGTAGAGACTGAATTATGTCATACTATAGGATCAAATCACAAATTTTAGAAAAATAAAAGGACTAAAACCAAAACCAAACGGTTATGTGAATATAATTAATAATAGTTTGATCAAATATTGAATGGTGTGCCAAAAAAATTCATTATTTACAAATTAAATCGATATTTTTTTATAATTTTTTTATAATTATTGATATCAACTCATCAGTTAATTAATTTAAGCCTTAAGGGGCTGATTGGTTCAAGGAATGTAGGATTCTCATGGGAATATAATCCACATTTTCATGTTTAGTTGGTCGAAAATCTCATTCCCGATAATGTTTTATTACTAATAGTAGATTTTTTGGGGTATATTATCGGGAATATCATTACCTCCATTTCCTTAGGTATTGTTGATTACCAGCATTTTGGACTAAAATGCCCTTAATTCTTTTCAGAAGTATCATTCTTATGTCATTGAATAATAAAAATTCAACGAAGGTTAAATTACAAATTTATCCTTAAACTATTTTAGATTTTAAAAAAAAAATCTATCATTAAAATTTTATATGAAGTTCAGGGGTTAAAATAAAATTTTACCCTTTCATTAAACCTTTTTATATTTTCAATTTTGTAAAATATTATATATATATATATATATAAATTTTATGAATTTAAATTTTTAAAGAAAATATATAAATATTTTTCAACTTGTTAAAAAATATATATATATAATAAGGACAATTTAGTCAAATATACATTCCAATAATCTTTTATTCCTTTAACCAAACACTGTAATCTTACATTTCTGCTAAACCAACTAAACACACCCTAAAAGGTTTGTTATAAGATTATTCTTTTAATTCAATTTTTTTAATACGTCAAGATTTAAACTTCCCTTCATCAGCTGGAAAGGTGGTTATGATCAATATGGGATACATAAGTGGCATGCAAGAGTGGTGGAAATCATAATTTAAAGCCAAACAAATAGGAGATTAAAGGCAGGCTCAACCTCCTTAAACGCTTAGTTAAGCCACGTTTACTTTATGGAAAGACAAATCGTTCTCAGAGCCGCAAACAATCCAAAATGATTGGTAGAACAAATGCAATAATTTGCTTGAATGTCCATTTTGCAGAGAACAAGTTGGTATCATATTAACACTATCAAAACAAGACAAATAAACAAATAAAACCATGCATGATATTGTGTCTTTAAAGTTCTAGTTTTTCTTAACATATCAAGGGATCTTAGTGGTAAAGGGAGTGTTATCATCCCTAGATATCTTAAGTTCGAGAAATTGTGTTAGTAAGTTGTGTGTTTGTCAATGGTTAAAAAAGATTTTGAAATTTGAAACAAATACTACCTTATAATCACCTCATATAATTTAAAAAAAATCAATTTTGCTCTATCATTTTTAAAAAATAAAAAATAACTATCATACGATCTTTTTAGTTTTTAAGATTAAAACATGAGATTACAATGTAATATTTTTTTAAAGAATCTTAGTTAAATGTGTATATATCATGTAGATGTAACTACTCAAATCTAAATCTTTTAGAGAAAAAATATTTTTTAAACATTAAGATCACTTGATAAATTCGTAATCTTTTTATAGATATAAATTCATTAAGTGCATTATCTCGAAATACATGATAATTAATAAAAATATTGAAGACTAAACTGTCATTAACTATTATCCAAAGTCATGTTGCAATACTAATTTTAACCGTGTAAAAAAGTTTTAACAAATGACATACATCATTGATTGACATGGCAATTTTTTCTCATATAATAGAAATTAGGGTAAACTACACTCAAGGTCACTTAATTATTAGTTTGTAACAAGCATTCCACTTTTTTCTAAAAGTTACAAACATGTCACTTAATTAAATATTATTATAACCAGATCACTTCTTCATTGAATATTAGAAGAATCAGTGATGTGACCTAATGTAATAATAGTTTTAGTCCTTAAAACTTATATAGTTTATATATTAGGTCATATTCTAAAATAATTCAAGAAATTTAACCTTTCATATTTAAAAATTTCATCATTTTAGTCTTTGTTCCTCTCCCATCAATGTTATACTACTTACTTTATTGTTACTTTCTTGATATAATTACAATTTAACAAAAACTTGTTGATGTTATATGACATAATACGATTATCCAACTACTTCTTTGATCCGATAGGTTCGTATGGTTTGACAATATCGTCCAAAACCAAGACCGAGTCGTTTCGAGATTCCTTGCCTTCCATTGCTCTGAGAATGGATTTTTAGCGACCCACGACCATTTCTAAAGAAAACGAAGAAGAGAAAAGATTCAGAGAAGAAATTTAGAAAGGGGCTGTTGCGGAGAAAGTGTCCATATGGTATTGAAAGAGGGGTGAGGAGGGAAAAAGTACGAGAGTTTTACGCCTTAATATTTCACATTTCCTCGTATAAAGGTGACGTGGATAATATGTATGTGGAATATCATAAAACTGTGCCGTTATGTTTTTAATAGCATGTATCAAATTGAAATATAAATTTAATATTAAGTATGATTTTGAAAAAAATTAAAATTTATATATTAAAATGAAATATAACCGATAGTTTAGGTGCTAAATGTGTAACTTACCCTAAAAACTATTAGTTTAGACTTAAAATAAAAATTAGTGCTCAAACTATACGCTTTTTCACATCTATGTGCTTAAACTTATTTTCAGGCAATCTAGGTTTTTAACAATTTCAACGTTACACTTTTAAGTGTATGAAATGTTATCGTCGTTAAATGACACATATAATCTTTATAAAATTTAAAAATTTTATTTAAATTAAAAAACTTCAAATGATATTTTGTTTAATAAGAAAACTCAAAAATTTATAAAACTACAAAAAAACTCAAAATCTTTTAGACCCTTAATTTCAATCCATTTGTCACCATCAGTCACCATCAACATTGTCAATCAATC